GCTTGAGTCCCCGCAATATTTAGTCCCTCGGGCCCGCACAATGATGAGCCCCCCAATGTTTTGTTACAGAAATTAAATATTTTTTTAGATATAATTTTAAATATTTTCTAAACTTCCCATACTAATTTTCATATTTAGATCTGGCGATTTGTATATCGTAATTTAAGCAAAAAACGACACCAAATTCAATGACTTTTGGCATGAAACAACTTTGAAAGCTGCAAAAAATAATACAGAAGCCCCATCACTGTCGCGCATAAGTCGTGCCCCCCCCCAAAAAAAGGGACTAAGGTGCAAACCTGACCCAAAGGAGTATTTTAAAAGAATTTATATTCATGCCGTACTTGAATGTCTGAAAACAAATTCAAATCTGAAGGGTTTTTATAGCACAAAACATTGAAAACTCAGTTCTAAGTGCTTTTAAGTTTGCAGGATCAAGATGTAAAAGTTTCAAAGGTTTTGGAATATCACTGGAATGATGCAAATGAAGATCGTCTTATTCGACACATGAAAATGTTCCGAGACCTCATCTCCCATCATTGTAGTAATTCGATTAAGGAAATCCAAAGTATACAAGAAGAAAGAATAAATGAATGAATGAATAAATGAATGAATGAATGAATGAATAAATGAATGAATGAATGAATGAAAGAACGGACGAACATTTAGCAGGTATAGAACGGGGCTAGCAGAGCCACTGCTGCAAACGTACAGTCTTCCATTGTCCAGCGAGACGATGTTCCTGACATGGTTCAGACATTTGTAAGCCTTATTACGATAAATAATAATAACAATTATTATTATTATAATTATTATTATTATAATTATTATAATAATTATAATTAGTATTATTATTGTTATTATTATGATTATTATAATTATTGTTATTATTATTATTATTATTGTTATTATTATTATAATTATAATAATAGTAACAATTATTATTATTATTATAATTATTATTATTATAATTATTATAATATTTATAATTATTATTATTATTATACTTGTTTGATGCCCACGTGACTGCAGTGTTCTTGGCGGTTTGATAGGAAGAATGATTCGTCGTATGCCGTGAGATTCAATGAAGCTGTGGGGTGCTGATGATGATAACTATGATGATGATGATGATGATAATGATGATGATGATGATTATGATGATGGTGGTGGTAAAGGTGGGGGTAATGGTAATGATAATACTGGTGACGACGACGATGATGATGTTGATGTGAATATGGTGATGATGAGCTGTATGTATGCATGTGAAGGCATGTTCTATTGGTTGTGGTGAGAATGATGACAACTTAACTCCACCATCATCATCACAACTATCTTAATCATCATCATCATCTGTACTACCATAATCATCATCACCACTACCATAATCATCATCATCATCGTCGTCGTCGTCTTCGTCATCGAGACCTCAGTCATTTGAGACATTATTAATTCAAAAAATTCCAATCAAGCCAGGTGTGTGTGAGTGTGCGTGCGTGCGTGTGTGTGTGTGTTTATTTGCGTGTGTGTGTGCGCGCGTGTGTGTATTTGTTTGTTTGCTTGTGTGTTTTTTCGTTTTCGTTTTTGTTGTTATTATTATTGTTATTATTGGTTTTTTTTCTTTGGTCCTCGTCATTATTTTATCGACGTCATCATCATCAAAACTATCACTACAATCATCATTATCATCCTCATCGTCATCACTATCATAACCACCATCATCATCATCATTATCATCATTATTATCATCATCATGCTTACCCTTGATATGTCAAGGGCGTCCAGTCGGTGTAGGAAGTCTCTGGAGGCAGTTAATTTTAAAAGGGGGAAGAATTTTAAATTCGTCATCATTATCATGATTGCCTTTATCATCATCATCGTCATCATTATCATCACCACCATCATCGTCGTCATCATCATCATAATCATCATCATAATCATCATCATCATCATAATTATCATCATCATTATCACCACCACCATCATCATCATCACACCATCATCATCATCATCATAACTAACACTCCGCCCACATATATCACGCTTTCGTTTTTCCTATCCAGGGAGATGTGCCTGAAGTAAGGGTTCTTCGGTCCACCATGATACTGATGCTGCTGATGATGATGATGATGCTGATGATGATTCGAGTAAACGTTGAGTTCTGTGTTGAGGTCTGCATGATGATGATGATGATGATGATGATGATAGTGACGATGATGAAGATGATGATGACGACGACGATAATGATGATGATGATAAAGATGGAAAAAAATGCAATAACAATATCCATAACAACAACAACAACAACAATAATAATAATAATAATGACGACGACGACGACGATGATAATGTTAGACTCATCCAAAATATCATTGCCCGGTTTAATTTTTATTATACAAAATTATTATGTATGTATGTATGCATGCATGCATGTATGTATGTATATATGTATGTATGTATGCATGCATGCATGCATGTATGTATGTATGTATGTATGTAAGTATGTATGTATGTATGTATGTATGTATGTATGTATGTATGTATGTATGTATGTATGTATGTATGTATGTATGTATGTATGTTAAAACCAAATCGTGATGAATGACACCAAACAGTCAAACATCTGATTAAAAGNGGTTAACACTTTAATGTATCGTTAGTCTCACACGTCGCCGTTTAAGTTAATATTTTCCGACACACAAATACGCAGAAATCGCTGCAACAAACACGAGATGTGGTTTATTGCAAAAAAGAACTCTCTGTTGTTACCTGACCGAACACAAATCATTTTACACAATGTTTTAATAAATTTTGAAGTATTGGGGTCCATGGGTCCAAGGACCTCGATACATATTGGCAAAAAATCTAAGGAAGGCAGGGCGTGTTCATATTTTTTAATTTTTTCGTCCGATGCCCTGATTGCAGCAAAACAACATTCTTTGCTGGTAAGGTGAACGTAGCGCTCGGCCAAGGTACCAGGAACCGTAACATCCCAAGCCAAACATTTACCGGCTCTCCAGGGAGTAAGAGTACAACCGTCTGGTCGCTTGCCATCTTGCACTGAAATGCCAGATGGTTCCTTCAAAACAGGAATTTAGAAAGAAGCCGGCAAATGTAATCATTCAAAGCTGAATGACGAAATGACGGCCTCCACCTAAGCGGCAAACCAAACCATGATGACCAAATTCGTCCGCCTCCGCGCCGCAGCGACACAGATATTTATTTTGTATACTTAGGCCAAGTCTGAAACTAACGGAAAATCTAACAGACTCGTCATCGAGTCTGGTGCCTACGGAAGTGTTGGGCCACGACCTCAACCAACCACAACTAACATCACTAGTTGCAGCCAATAAGCGGGCGGAGGAAGAAGCACCGACACCAGTAGACAGAAGTTAATGAAAAGTCTTCTTATATTGCTCATCTAAAATTTGAGCTTGTAAAGGGCTTTCAGGTGTGGTCGGCAGTGGTGGGATGTCACAGCAACAACAAAATTGGCAAAGGAAGGTGGACTGGAGGTCAAGAGTGGCAGCGGCAGAAGATTTATAGACGATTGGTGCCAACTGAACCACACTAAGTAACCCCAGACCACCATACCGCACCGGCAGCTGAGCCTGGGACCAACCACTGTCAGTCAAATGAACATTGCAAATGGCTGACAAGGCGGTACGCAAAATGTATGTATGTATGTATGTACGTACGTACGAAAAAGTAGAGGGCCTAAGATTGAGCCTTGAGGTACGCCGTTTAGGATGAAGGCCGTAGTAGATTGGTGATTTTCAACGGAGACGTATTGTTTACGTGAAGAGAGATAACTCTTAATCCAATCGTTGGCTACGTTTCTGACACCATAAAGTTTTAGTTTGTTTAGTAAGATGTTATGATTGATTACATCAAATGCTTTGGAAAGGTCTAAAAATAATCCAATTGAAAGCTTTTTGTCATTCAACCTGGATAAAATGTGATGTATGAAATCAAGAGTAGCAAGCTCTGTGGAGTGGTTTGGCCTAAAACCGTATTGATTATTGCAAAAAAATTTTGTTGGCCTCAAAAAAGGAGAACAACCTAGTATAAACTAATTTTTCAAGAAGTTTGGATAGTGGAGAGAGAAGAGAAATGGGTCTATAGTTATTGATGTCATCAGGTTTACCGTTTTTAACTATAGGAATAACTTTAGAGGTTTTAAAAGTATCAGGGAATACACCAGTGGACAAAGATAAATTGAAAATATGGATTAGGGGAATTGTTAAATTGTGAATTGTATTTTTTATTAAAAACATATTTAATCCGTCAACAGCAACCGATTTATTATTTTTCATCTTGGCAGTTAAAGTTATCAATTCAGAAGTTGAGATGGGGTAAAAATCAATAGAATCAGATAGAGAGCGGCTTATGAATGAAATCGGATTAGTTGAAATAGCAGGAAGAGTAGAAAGAAGTTTGTTGCAGATAGTAATAAAGTGTTCGTTCAAGTGTTCACATATGTCCTGTTTGTCGTCAATGGGGATGTTGTTAATGGTGAGTTTAGATATAGGAAGAAAAGATGAATTGGAGTTCAGGGCTTGCTTTATCAGTTTCCATTGGTATTTGGGATCGTTTTTAGAAATAGCAAAATTGATGACATAGAATTTGCGCTCAGTCTTTCTTTTTATTGAAGTGAAGAAGTTACGGAACTTTTTGTAAGCAGAGATGTTAGTATCGGTAGGAAATTTGATGCTTTTTATATATAATTTATATTTAGTTTTGGATAATTTGATGATATTTTTATTGATCCAACCTTTATGGCGTTTGTACTTGGAAGGTAGTTGTGGTGAGACATCGTCTAGAATCCTGAAGAAAAGAAAGTAGAAATTTGTGCAACATTCGTTGATATCGGTTAGTGTAGTGACTGAAGACCAATCTTGATTAGATAAACAAAAGTTTATCTGCTCAAGTGATCTGTAGGAAAGATTTCTAGAAACTTTTGGAGGAGTAGTAGTATAATACATTTCAAAAGAAGAAGATGTGGTAAAAATAGGAAAGTGGTCTGAAAAGTCATGTAATAAAATACCAGAAGACTGATAGGTTGTTAGTAAAAATGTTGTCTATTAAAGAAGAAGAAGACTGAGAAACACGAGTAGGCTTGGATATAAGAGGATAAAAATTAAAAGAAGCTAAAAAATCAGGAAAAGATGCAACTGAGTGGTTAAGAAAAGGTTTCAGGAGATTTATGTTAAAATCACCAACAAGATATGTATTAGATTTAGATTTAAGTTTCACAAAAATGAGATTGAGTACTTGAATAAGCAAATCAATATCCTAATCCGGGGGTCTATAGAAAGCATATAAATATATTACTGCGTTGTTTAATTTGATTTCGATACCCAAGTAGTCAACTACACAATTGGAGAGCGTAACTTCATCCAAGACTGAATAATTGATACCCTCCCTGAGAAAAATCCCAACACCACCACCTTGCTTGTTCGGTCTTTTTTGAAAATAAAATTGTAATTAGTTAATTTAATAAGTTTAGCGGATAACTCGTTCAACCAAGATTCAGAGATAACTATTATGTTAAAAAAATTATCTAAAGAATTAATCAAAACAAGTAAATCATCAACTTTATGTAATAAACTCCTACTGTTAATGTGCAAAATGGATAGTGAAGAGTTGAATGGAAGAATTTTGATTGTATTGAAAGTATAATTAAAATCGTTGATAGTGTAGTAAGGAGAATTATAAGAAAAAGAATTAAGTAAATTTACATCAGGATCAATGTTAGAAAAAAGAATATTATCATTATTGGAGGAAGTAGTTGAATAATTATTTAACAAAACATTCGAAGCTGACGATATAATCAGAGGGTCCTCTTCCGATATATGATTTTTAGATATTTTAGCCATTGTTAGTTGATGTAGTTTGGCCAGATTTACTGTTGAGGAACCGCCATTCACGGATGATTACGTTTTCTGGCAAATTGTCAGGATCTTGAATTTTAGAAGTATCACTGGCGTTGATGCATACTCTGAGCATTGTTGAGTCTTCGTCTTCATTACGAGGCAGAGTACCCGACGGAACCATAGAGCGTTTCAGCACTGGATAGCACGAAATTACCTGAATACCCACCTCCGATAGGTAGTCAATCACATTACTTCTGCTGCATTTTTTGATGTTGCTCATGGCAAATACAGATTTTTTGATCAATTTTTTATCAGCACTGAGTTTATTATTATCGTTTTTTTTAGCGCCAACTATTTTAGCGCCAACTTTTTTTGTTACGAGCAACAACACTGAATGGCAAAGGGTTGTCTTCTAATGGAGATTGAACTACATCTGACCAGAGTGTAGCTGAATTAGCTGGATTAGGCATAGTTACGATGTTGTTTTTTTCCGGAAATATTGCCGTCGAAGTATTACTCGAATGACTGGCAAAATTATAGTTATCTCGTTTGGACGCTAAATGATTTATCTTGTTGTTCAATGTTGAAATTTCAATGCCGTGCATGTCTATTGCATTAACAATTTTTACCTGTTGAGCGTACAACATTTCTTTAATTTCGTTTTTCAGATTTTTGAAATTAACTTTAATTATATTGTCAAGATTAGGAACTTTAGCCAGATTAACACTAGCAAATAACGAACATTTTTCTAAAACACTGTTATTTTTCAAGTATTTCAAAATTGAGACACAATCTAGGAGTTTTTCTTTTTTTGTATTACCACGACCAACTAACTTGTCTAATTTATCCAAATTTTGAGTTTCCAATTCAGTTTTCAAAGTTTTCAAAGCAGATATGAAATCTTCATTAGTATAAAAGTCAGACGTGTTAGCAATAAAATTATCATTATCAAATAAATCGAAGTTATTTGACAAAAAGTACAGGACTTCGTTAGCAAAGACCTGTCTTGCCGCCATTTTGTAAACACATGTATGTATGTATGTATGTGTGTGTGTGTGTGTGTGTGTGTGTGTGTGTGTATGTATGTGTGTATGTATGTGTGTATGTATGTATGTATGTATGTATGTATGTATGTATGTATGTATGTATGTATGTATGTATGTATGTATGTATGTATGTATGTATGTATGTATGTATGTATGTATGTATGTATGTATGTATGTATGTATGTATGTATGTATGTATGTATGTATGTATGTATGTATGTATGTATGTATGTATGTATGTATGTATGTATGTATGTATGTATGTATGTATGTATGTATGTATGTATGTATGTATGTATGTATGTATGTATGTATGTATGTATGTATGTATGTATGTATGTATGTATGTATGTATGTATGTATGTATGTATGTATGTATGTATGTATGTATGTATGTATGTATGTATGTATGTATGTATGTATGTATGTATGTATGTATGTATGTATGTATGTATGTATGTATGTATGTATGTATGTATGTATGTATGTATGTGTATTGTTCATATTATTATTGTTATTATTATTATTATAATTATAATAATTATTATTTTAGCCAGCATAATAAAATGCGAACTCGTGTGCTTATTATCAACAATGATTTTACGACCGAACTGGCAAATACAATCACTTACCATTAGGACTACTACTACTACTACTGCTACTACTACTACTATTACTACAACTGCTATTGCTGCTATTGTGGCTGCTGCTAATACCACCATATATACACTGTTTGTTTGTTTGTTTGCTTATTGTATTTTTTACATTTTAGTATGTGGGAAGAAAAATGATTTTAAAATTTTTCATCTTCTGACATTGTCTGATGGCCAATGCCAATTATTAGAATACAAACATACATACATACATGCATACATACAAACATACATACAAACAAACACACATACAAACAAACACACATACAAACAAACACACAAACAAACACAATAACTCGAATGCAAACATACAAACACACACATACATAGGCAAACGTACATACACACGTCCATCCATAAATGTACATCGTAGTAAAATATGATACGGAGTCCTTATTTAATTGGTTTCAGGGCACATGTGCACGTAATGTGGACGCACGTACACACACAAACACACATACAAAGTGTAGAGGTGAGAGGGGAAACGCGGGAATGAGTTGAAAGAATAGGGAATGGGAATTTTCGGGAATGGGATTCTTCGGGACCGTTGTCTTAAATGGAAATTCTGGAGAGAATCGGGGATGAGGAAAAAAATTGGAGGGAATTGGGAACATATTTCAATTCTCGATCACCTTTTATACGAACATACAAACAAACACACACACATTCACACACACACACACATTCATACACACACATTCATACACACACATACATACATAGCAAATACATTGCAGATAGCAAAATTTTTCAGCCAGTCTGTATTGAAACCTTTGGTCCAACCGATTTTCAGACTCAGAGTTTTCTGAATGAACTCTGTAGCAGGATTGTAGAAGTATCGGGTGACCCATTAGATAAGAGTTATGTAAAGCAATCTTTTTCTAATTTTCTTCAAAAATATAATTCTTTCTGTATTTTGGATGGAGCGTTAAAATACCTGTCTGTGCGAAGCGTTTAACATAGATTAAAGCTGAA